TTTGTGATTTTTTGGTTGACTACCCTTAGAACTACCTTACAATATTTTCGAAGTAAACATATATGCAGAAATCGATTACGAAAATTTATGTATTCAGTTTTGTCGATGTATTTTACCACTAGTTATAGCTAGAGAGCTGAAACTTTCAGTAATAAAAGATCTGGATCAGATATATATGTGATAAAAATTTCAGCCTTCTACATCGAGTAAAACTATGAAAAATACGAATAAAAAATTATCCTCAGTTATTATGGAACACCCTTTATGTAGGACATAAGAGGGTCAAGTCTTAATAAGATTGCATTATCAAAAAATTATAATTGTATTTCTTATTCTCATTTTTTTTGTTTACTACATATTAATCGTTTAGTTATCGATAAAAGATATGCATACATAATATAGAATGGCTTCATACGAGGTCTGTTTTCGTTTCTTAACACATGAGTCTAATGTCGGCTGTAAAAAAAAGATGATAATCTAGAAGACTCCTGCTGTTTGACGTTTTGCTTTGACGGAAATGTATCGATAAGATATGCATTAGCTTCACATGTGTTGATAAAGCTCATGACATACGTATATATGGGTCGTTGGTCACCAAAGGATTAATACAAACTATCAACTTATGAGATCTTTATCATTTAGTTCTAATGATAACACTTACTTACTGTGTGTTGTTGATCTTAATTGTATATCAAATTGTTTTATACTTCTGAAGAATTAAAATGATTCTCGTCTTGTTCAATCCAATGATGCAAGGCAGGACACGGTTTTTTTTTCTAATGCATTTTCGATAATAGAACAAGATATGAAATATGTTAGCTTGTGAACATGTCGATTGTTGATTGATTGTCACAACTTATGTTGAAGTCGCGATTCATAGTTTACCGCTTAGGAACATCATAAAAATTTCATTGGTTTTTCTATTGAAAGAATATAATCTGAATTTCAACATCAAAAGGATTGAACTGCCTACAATGCTTGTAAACGGAAAACTATGGATTAAGATTTTTGCAATTACTTTCACATTCCAGGTTATATTATTTGAAATTTCAATGCAAATACTTCGGACTTATATGCATGCCTCAGTTTTTTTTTTTCTGAGACACATACGAAATATCTATAAATCTTTCTTCATTCAGATAATAGATCATATAATTCACTGTAAAATATGAGAAAAATAAAATTTTTATTTTCACAAGTAACAGCATTTTACTAATGAAAATTCTTTTATAAATTTACTGATTTTAGTATTTCTGGTAAACCACCAATAGAATCCAATGGAAGTGAACTTGCAACAAGTGAATCAATAATAGTTAATTCTTCTTGTGTAAACCATTTTGTTAAAATCAATAATTCGAAATGGAATTAGAACTAAAAACAAGTATAGAAAATTCAATTGCAGGTATCGTTTGTGATATTGCAAAAAAGTACAGCAAAACCAATTAATATTGTTACTGTATATATAAAAATTCGTTTACGAGAACGTGGAAGAAGTGGATCATCAAGTTTCATATGATTAGAATCACGTATAAGATGTAATAATCGATGTGTTATACGATTAACTTGAACCAATACCAATAAAAACATCAGCTAATACAGCATGTGATATGATAAACCAAGAAAATCAGCTATAATTATTGTCCATCGTAATAAAAAAAATCCCAATGAAATTCTGCCTGTTTTCGTAATGGATAATGTTTAGCTTGAGTTGTTAAACTTGAAACTTTATGATCAAAATAAAATAGAGCTGTAACAAGTAAATCAAATGGTAATGCAATAAAAACATATTTAACATCTAAATTAAATGGATTAACAAACCATCAACGACTAGAAATAGTTGGTTTATATGCAAATATTACTGATAAACGTTCAATATTTATTGAACGTAAATGACCTGGTATATAAGCAAAACTCGACCAAAATATAACACTTATAATTATAACATAATCAACAAGAAAATCACAAATTGATCGTGTAAAATAATTCTATTGACCAATATGTGTTAATACCCAATATGAAAAAAAGAAACCAAATGCAACAAATACTGATCTATCTCGAAAATATCATCTATAATAAATTCAATGCCAACATAAAAACTAAAAATTTCAGCAGTAAAATTTGTCATATAACAAACATATGTTAAATATAACAATAAGCCAATGAAGAAGAATAGCTACCCAACACATAAACAATAAACATAGTACTTGACTATAACAACTAATTATATTATATGTTATAGAATTAAATAAACTAATCAAACCAGTAAAATCAACTAACTATTGAAATAGGTTGTATAGCCAAAAGACCAAAGATAATATCTAAAGAAAATAAATTTTAAATAATTGCGTATTACGAGACTTGACATAGCTAAGAAAGTACGCGTCTTCTCGAGTACGTACTCGTACTTGCTTAGATCTGATATGAAAAGCACAATTTAAAGCCAATAGACAACGTACTTACTAACCATCTCAAATAAAATTCAACAGATGGTGGTCCATTTTTAGAATGTAGTAACCACAAAAATTAATCGTACACATTTTTATTTCGAATTTTTCTATTAATGATAATTCACATAAAGAATTCAAATAATGACTTGAATAGGGAATATTGTTTTCAACGAAAATTAAAGAAAAATAAAAATCTTCATAGTATTCTCCAATATCTAGTTTTTCAGCACAGAGAACTTGTGTGCGGAAAAACTAGACTTTTGGTTTTTGAGAGATTCTGACTTTTGGGATTACTATAAAGATTTTATTCCCTTGAAATTCTTGCTGGAAACAATTTTTCAAATTAATATTTGAATTCTTCATGAAAATTACCAACACAGAAAAATTTGAAATTAAATTTGTATGATAAATTTTTCAAGATACTGTATATATATATATTCAATCATCACAATTCGAAATTGACTTATGTTGACCAGCATATATTCTCACTAAATATTAGCAAAATCTATTTTATCATTTTCTTTAAAAAACAAAACAGATGAAGTTTCATATTTCCAATTTATCTTAATGAAATATGATATAAAAAAAAAATGTTTTGTTAAAATTATTTCAAACTTCCAAATGCTGATGAAAGTAAAGCTTCATTAATACCGTAATAGCGATCACTACGCAAAATATAAATCAAAATCATAAGCTAATGCTGGAATTGTATTAAGAAAAAAGATACAAATAGTTGCAGTAAATATTCAATAAGATAAATAATAAGGTAAATATATTTTAACATCTTAAATCATTCCTGCAAATGGATAAAGAATCGATGTATAATATGATGAATAATCATATTATTTTCAGCTAAGTTATCCATGGTAAATAAAAATCTACAACAATAATTTTTTTTTTGTTTAAAAAGTATTTAAGAAAGAAAAAAATTCATATTTTATTTAGAATATTTTTCATCTAACAATCATATAACTCACTATTATAGGTAGTTTATTTTGCATCTATTTGATATATTTCTTTTTATAATATGTTATATTGCCTAAAAAATATTGTCATATTCACACATAATAGACCTTCAATGTGTTCGCTCTATTCTTCAATGACCTTAAAGTTCTTATATTATCTAGCAAATAATTATAATTTATTCATGATAAATGCAATGATATTGTTTTATGTAAGTCAAAAAAATAAACTCGGAAGAAACATATTACGTTTATCATATAAGTTTAATGATTAATTATATTACTAATGATAAGAATTGATTTTATACTTACAGTCTGGATTGTTTACTTGTTCTGTTTCAATAGTCACGAATTGAAGCTATAGATAAATATCTCACCTGATATTTAGTCAGTAAATTAATTAAATATATAACTCATTAAACTAGCATAAAAAAAACGTGAAGTGAAAAATATCTCGTAGACTATAATTATTTTTCAGGATAATCAATCACTGAAGTATAAGAATCTCGTTAATTTCTACATTTCGAACAGAATTTTTGTTTTTCTACGTTGCTATTCACTCATTACTTTTCACTTTTTTTAAAATTCATTGAACTAATTGACAAAAATAAGTCTCTTTTATATATTCATGATAATCTACAGTAGATCTTGTACATTATCATATATATTAATGATATTCGTTATTTTTCAAAAAAAAACATCTAGAAAATCTGTTGCTTATTATTCTTGATTGCTAAGGTCTGTAATGGGAAAGGAGAGAGACGTGAAAACTTGACCTTAAAACTTACAGTCACTATTTTCTTTGAAAATATATGTGAGTTCCAGAAAAAAGTTGCCATTAACCTAGAAAAATATCTTGTTAACAAGAAAAGAATTTTGATTTCACATAATTATATTATACTAGAATCAATAAAATAATAAGTCGTAGATCTTTAAGATCAATTAAAGCGATTTTGTTTATAGAAAATCGTAGGGATTCTATTAACGTCAATCATATTTAATTTCCGGTTAGAAGAAACCCTACAATGATGCAATGTTTACCAAACTCTTCTGTCATAGTTTTGTATTATCTATTAGTTTAATTTCCACTTTAAATCTTTTTCTTTTTATATTTATAATTAATCGTATGATGTAATAAAAAAAATAATATCAATATGTTTATCGAAGTATACACTTGTTTCAATGTCAAATACAAACCATAATATTTTATTCAATATACACCTTTTTTTTTACTGAAATGTCAATGAGTAATCAATGAATCACTAAAGTCCGAGCAAGGGAAAACATTTATTGAGAAAAAAACGAAGATTGTTATTGATAATATTGAAGGATATAATGAAATTTAATATTTATCATATTGATTAATTGTTGAAAAGTCAGTACCCAACATTTTAGAAATAAACAAAAACAAAAGTGACATTTTTCTAATAAAAAACAATTAATCTTAATCATATTTTTATGTCACTTTACATCTCATATTTGTTTGTATTCTCTCTACCTACCTTGAAAATATGCATTATAATCGAAAATAATGCAAGAACACCTTTGCAGATGTATTCATCCATTCATTCATATAAAGGTAGTCAACACAAACTTTTTTTTGCATCAATTACAATAAAACAAAATTTATTTTTGTAAAAAACCAAAAAAAAAATAATAATAATCATTTGTTTTCATTTTACTCTAACACATATACAAGTATTATTATTAATATTTTAAAGAAATATTTGATTTTATTTTTTTTTCGAAAAAAAAGTTATTATTTATCTCAAGTCATAGTAAACAAGATAACAACAACAACAAAAAAAAAAGCATAAAACAATTACGCAACAATCCTAGCTCGAGAAGTAACGGAGTACAATAGTCTACTATTATTATTTTTAGATGATGCTTGTCGATGCTTCTTAAACAGACTTGCTGCACATGCAAGAGCGCCACCTTGTAAAAAACGAACAAGTTTATCTCCAGCTAATGGACCTAATGCATAGACATTTTCAAAATCGATACATTCATAAGTATATGGGTCAATGTGAAGACCATTATTTTTTTTCGCGGTCAACGATGGAAGAAAAGGTATAGTTACATCAGCTCCAGTAACTCTAGCCACGTATGATATATCATATTCCGTTGTTGTTTGTGTACGAAGATTTCGTATATGTACTGTACCATCTTCGGTTATTGATAGAATTTCACTTTGTGGAAAACATTGATAAGACCATTGAGATGATGATGATGATGAAGAAGAGGATGAAGTGGACTAAAATAAATAAAAATTTCAGTTTCGAAATTATTATAATATTGTTCTTTTTCTCTCTATTATCTTTCTATATCAAAAAAAAAATATATATATATTATTTTAACGTACCATAGATATTGAATGTCGAATTAATTCTCTTATACGTTCATATTCAGGATAAACATTAGCAGGTAATTGATTCAATACAAGTTCATGATCATCAATAGTTCGACGAAATACATGTAAAACAGGTATTGAATATTGTTGACATAAAAGAAGTACATCTACAGCTGTTAGACCACATCCAACAACAAGTAAAGGTTTACTATGACTAGTTAATTGTTTTTTATTAATAATAATTTCTTCTATATCATGTAAAGTTGTATAAGTAAATGATTGACTTGCTTGTTCACCAATAATTCCTAATGATCTTGTTATTTTTTGTGGCATACCTGTTGCTAATACAACATATTTAGCATGTATTACAAATGGATTTTTATTTTGTTCATTATAACCGCGTATTTCCCATAATGGTTCTGGTGCATGAATTTCTTCATTTAAATCATCATAATATGGTGCATCAATACAAACACGTTCAATAGATGTTATTTCATGACCATTACGAAAATAATTTGTTAAACGATTTCGTTTAACATAATACATATAATATGAATGAACTTCATCATATGTTGCTCGATGACATTGATTTTCATTTGTTGTCAATGAATTATTACATCGACATGATCGACGTTGTTGTCGAAATGTAGACATTGAATAATTTGGTAGTTCCATCCAATCAGCCATACTAATTGTTTGTAATTGTTTTGATGTTAATTGATTCCAAACACCACCAATTCCACCACGTCCAATACAAAGATGATCTATAGATAATGATGGATCATGACGCCATTTTATTTTTGATTGTAAATGTGCACCAAGATCAGCATCAGGATGTAATAAATTATCAATAAGTAATGAAACAGGATTTCTTGAACGACCTTCAAGTCCATCAGATAAAAATTCGAAATCCTAAAAAAAAGACAAAAAAAAAAAAAAAAAAATTATGATCCATTAAAATATTTGAATAAAAAAAAAGCAGAGCTAGCAATAGATGACCTGTATTGAAATAAGATTTATTTGACAAATAAATTTTCATAAGAATATCATGAAAAAAAACGGCAGCTGACTATAAATTTCTTTTTCTACTATTTTCAGTTTCTTGTAGAAAAACATCATTAAATTTGATTTTCTTTCCACGAAAATATTTCTTGAGTTCATTTTATTGTCCTGACCTGTTCTAGTAATGATGTATCTTTAACATATTGTTCCAATTTAATATTTAAATAATCATTTGATACAGGACATCCATTCCAATAAGGTACATGACCAGAGAGAAGATAAGATAGAACAATAGCGGATGGTCCATTACCTATAAAAGTTATTTTAATTAAATATTCATAATAAAATATTCATACATACCTATTACAACAACTTCTTTACGTTCACAAAGATCGAGACAACATGGATCAGTAGTAATAGTGTTCATTAGATAAATACAAAAATAATAAAGTAGGTTAAATTATGATTGCTAGAAAATGCCTGTTTTTTTCTGTAATTGTAATGAAATAAATATCTCGATTCTACTTTGTTAACGAACGCTGGAGAAAGAGAGAAACGATAGATGAGAGAATATGCTCCGTCATACTTCGATTATATATCCCAATGTCTCTCTTTTTTTTTCTTCTCTCTTTCTCTCTCTCTCTCTCTCTCTTCCTTATTTCGCTCTGGAATTTGAGAGAATGACTTTTTTTTTTCTGTTCTTGTTCTATTCGAGAGAAAGAAAAAGAAAACATCAAGAAAAGATCGTTCTTTCATGTTTTTTTGTCCTTCACTAGAACAAAAAACTAACCGAAAGTTTGAACCTAGAGTTCAATGATTATTTTTAAAAAAAGAAAGAAAACAGCTGTTAGATAGATTCTAATCAAGAATAATTAAAAGAAAGGAAAAAACAAATACTTTTTTCCTTGATTCACAATAATGACCAGGTATTGCGAAAGTTAATGTACCAAGAACGATTTTTTTTTTCTTTCTGCTATTTTTTTTCTCGTTCTACTGCTTCTATAATGATGACGGTGCAAATTATTGACTGACTGTTTAACAGTCTTTGTATAATCTGGTTGCTATTTTGGTTATGAAATAGATGTAGATGAAGTATGAATGTAGAAAAGAAAACAAACTATATATGCGTAATTGTAATTGAAACTGGAGCAACAAAAATTTTCTCGATCTGGAGAATAACACAAAAACATTCCTGATAAACAACAACTCTAATCAATAAAGCATTTATCTATACAAAGAGTATTTCATTGCAATAGTTATAAAACTTGTTTTTTTTCGTGATTATATTTATCTGTGGATTTTATATTTACTTTATAGTACTTATTATCTCTTCTTAACAAGATTGCTTTATTATGAATAGATTAGCAAAAAACAACATAGTTATTGCGCATTTTAGTTTTTGCCCTTCACAGGCAAAAGAGCAATCATGAGAACAAAACAATAATATATTTTTCAAAACAATCAACATTGACATAGTTGTTATTAATCGTTTATCTGCATGATTCTTTTATTGTCTTGTAGACATCTAGTTCAAAAATGCTCTGTCATTCATCTAAATAACTGCATATGTAAGCCAGAGAGACACCTTTTTTTTTTTTTTTACAATCAAACTGAATCATTTCAACGACGATATGAATAATATTTCGTACTTGCATATGGTACACAAACGTATTCATACACAAATATTATGTGACGATTTCGTATTATTGATGAATAACGACTGATTTATACGCATATGTCAACACTAGTTTAGATAATTGTTGTTTTTAAAGAACAGTCTTCGTACATTTCGACATGAGAAAATATTGACATATGAAATTGGATTAAAGTAAAAAAAATAATTCACAAAGATATGTTAAAAATTTCGAAAAAGGACATTGCAAAAGTTTCGAAAATTATATTATTTTGGGCAATACAGAATATTTCGAAACATAAACGTTTAAAATTTTCGAAATCTTTTTTTTTTTTGTAGAAACCTAAACATTGCTGTATTCACAATATGAGTACAAAATTTCATATGTAATCGAAGCGCAAAAGTTTAAAATATTATTGTCATTTCGATCACAGCATAGATGGACAGATTTCATATATAATACCATATAATTTTCTTTTTCAATTAGTTTTTTATTTGAGTACAAACAATTGCTGCAGCTGAAAGTAAATCATCATCATCATCATCATCATGCGAAGTTTGTTTTGGAATTTGAGAATTTTTATCAATAGAAGGATATAATTGATCAAGTTGAATAAATGATTGAAGAATATTTGTATCAGTTTGATTTGATAATTTTTGTAAAGAATCAAATGAAAATGGTAAAATTTTTTTATCATCTTCAGATGATGTTGAAGAAAATAATGAATTTGTTGAATTATTAATTAATTTTTTTTCATGTGTATGACGAGTCATATCAGCTAATTTAAGCAAAATAAAAAAAGTATTTCTTCTATTTCTGTTGTGTTATTTTGTTTTTTGATTTCTACCTGTTCGATTTGAATGTTGAAGTTTGGATGGATCAGGTTTGAGATCAACATGAAATTGATCTCCATCATGTATATTATATCTAAATAATGAAATTATTAAAAAATAGATAAACGAATCAAATTTATTTTAATTGAGAACAACAAATCTATGAATAGGAATCAATTTTGTTTGTTTATTGTGTTTTTCTTTTTTTGATAAGAATTAACCTTATTGAATTACAAAAAAATAGATCGTATTGAAGGTTAGAATAGAATATTCGTCGTACTTCATTTACAATCAAAATTACTTTATTTGATATAAATAATAAAGATATAATTTGTTTAGTAGGAAAAAATAGAATAAAATAACAATTTTATGTGCTTCAGAAGAAAAACCGGATTTAATTAAAAGACAATAGAATATTTGGAAGCAGATCGTCATTATAAACTATTTTAGATATCGAAACATGCATAGCATAAATATTTCGTGCGCATGTATAATCTATACTTAAAAATAAGTTTTTTTTATGAATTTTATTACATTTGAATGCACACATTAAGGAATGTTCTAGAACATTTTAGAAGCATCTTTACGAAGGGAAGTGCTTGTGCACGATGCATACACTCTCATCCACACTCTGTATTGTATGTGATTGAATTACGTGTGCATATCGTGTAGAAGAATCCGGACTGCTATAAATAGGCTTGATAGACAGACAGTACAAGAAAAATCTAGGACACTATTTACACATTTTTTGGAATGTTGTATCAGATTCCCGGACATTTTTTTATTTTTGAAGAATCTTAGGTTTTGATTATATAAAGATCGAGAAAATTGTTGAAAAAAAAAAAAGCTTCAGATGTTTTTGTATAACATTTTAGAATTTGTTAAGTGTGAAATTATATGTTACCTGGAAGAAAATTTTTACACAAACAGCGCCACATAAACTCATCTGTTTAGTAATTGGTTGATTTTTTATTGCATCATTCCAAAAGGTATACGTACCAATTTTTATAAATTATATTGTGCAAAAATAATTATAAAACATATAGAATATTTTTGCGACTATGCTATTCAAAGGATTAAGATGATATCAATGATTATAATAGATTTTGAACTTTCTCTTGTTTTTTTCTCCCAGACATCGTAACAGACGTTGTTACTATAGGATAAAAGACTGTATATAAATAACGTTCCGTTCTAATAATAATCTACCTCCTTATAATATATTTCTGGAGCATTAAGTAAAATGATAGTTAAGAAACGTGTCTTAAACTACATAAAATGATATAATCTCTATGTGATTAACAATAACAGCTGCATTGTGTTTCACACACTTAAATCGCACAGTGCTGTGCTAATCGTTTTTTTTTTTACATAGATTTAATTATCAGAATTGTTATGGTAAACTGGATAAGAAAGAAGTTTATCTACTTTCAATGGAAATCTTTGATGTATATATATATATGCTTTAATAAGAATTATTAATATTTTTCAGAGTTGGTTTTTACTATGTAGGTCACAATGTCAATACTATTTGACATTGAATGGTACTTAGTGTTAGTACCGACGGTGTTTTATCCTACATGAAGGACAAGAGGATGGCACTCCTTCAAATATCTGGTTAGTTTCTCGCAGAGTTTATGATTATTGTACCATATACTAAATGTCTATGCTTCTAAATATAGGTATTCATCCTTCTAAAGTTTTAAATCATCCCATAAAAAGAGAAAATTTGAATAAATTGCTTAGTACCAACAATAGTTGTTCTTTATTTTCTCAAAAAATACTATATCGATAATTCTTCGTATATATATGACATATGATTAATTATCTATAATCAACATACGTATGCAATAATCGTTGTGAATATTTGAGTTCTTCGGGACCACATACACCCATATTAAAAGCTACATCATCAACATAAAAAACTCGTAAACGATTTAATGGTATTTGAAAAATTTCTTGAAGATATTTTTTAAATTGTTGTACTGTTTGTCGAATATCGATTTCTTTATCATATGTTATTTGATTATATATAAGACGTACTTGCATTAAATAAGGTGCACGAATTTGAATATCAACTAATGGTTTAAGATTACCATGTTTTTCAATTAAATCAAAATATCTTAAAAAAAAAAAAGAAAAAAATTTGTTTAATATTAATTAATAAAAATTTGTTTTATTTTTACCGTTCTGGTTTATCATCACGTTGAGAATAATAACGAATAAATCGTCTTTCACTTGTTTCTCTTTCATTTGCTGTTATATCACTTCCATTTAATTTTTTAAGATTTTTTATATATCCAAGTAAAAGAAAAAATCGTTCATCTTTTTGATAGGCCTAAAATAAAAATCTTTTGTTATTTTCTTTTACACAAAATAGAAAACCTTAAGAAGTGGTGCTGTATAAATTCTTAAAGCATATAAACAAGGTAATTTCGTTAATGCAACAATATCATTCCATTCAGATACTTGAACTCGATCAACACTAAGTGTATGTAAATTTGTTAAACATATAGCAACATCATCATCTGAACAAAAGCTTTTTAAAGGATTATCACTAGCTATTAAGGTTTGTAAACGTGGAAATAAACAACCAAGATGACATATAGATTTCCAATCAGTTAAATTATTATTTGATATATAAATACGTTTAATATTATTATGTATAAAATTATAATTTGATGATATTGTTGTATAATTATTTGAACAAATTTGTAATTCTTCTAAACTAAAAATATTAACGAATATAACAACAATTATTGTTATATTAAAGAAGATTATACATATGTCAAGTGCGTGTTCAATAAGCTTTTTACATTCATAATTTCTTATTAAGCAAATGTAATGAGGAATAATATAGTAGACGATTAAATTCTATTCCAACAAATGAAATAATGATTAGGATCTGCTATATTTAGAGAAAAATGTATGAGATCAATTATTTTTTTCTTTTTTATCGT